GGGATGGGTGGGAAGGGTGAGATCGATAGACTGAAGCGGCTGCCAGAGGCGCCTGATATGCTGACGTCTGTTCTCAACCTTACACTGCACCCGTAACTCAGCCTCTGGGCTGCAAGTGGTCAGATATAAACTATAATTATATAACTAACCAGTTTGGCTAGTCAACAAACTGAAATTGTTGTAACATCTAAGTTGTCACTAGCCACCTAGCTAATAAGTTGAAAAGTTAGTATTGAGCCGTGATTGTGCATTCTGCTATCACTCATATGTTGGGTAGTGATTTATCCCTTGGATAGCATTGACCACACCCTTGAAAGAACTGGACCTAGGGGTATTGCTTCTGTATAACCCTTGGCAGGTACCACAGCCCCCTGCCATTATTCAGGCTTCTCTGACAGTTCACTGGTACCCTTTTAAATGCCTGAGTGGAGAGAAGCACTGTAAGAGCAAAGTGTCACACCCAGGAATAAGACACAATGACCCTGCAAGGCCTCACAACTGAATCTCTCGCCTTGTAGTTCAGCGGTGCTTTATTCCTTAATCCACTGCCTCTCCCACCCCTCTGCACAATGCCATGGCTATTTTGTGTCCAAAAGACAAATGGAACGTACGTATATGACAGATCAAACCTGCACCCTACCTTATCTCAACTGCTGAATCATTGTGACAAGTTCTGCCACCAATAATAATATTGTGAGTGTCTTGTGCAGATCTTTCTTCTTTTGATGCCACCATGGAACAACATGTTGGTTCCACCTAAAAATGACAGATATTACCAGTACCCATATAATACATGTATGTGTATGTCACTGTTAGTGTGGCATTCTCATTTAGTGATTTCTTTTTGTGTTCCTAATTACATTTTTTTGTGTTTTTGCATGTGCATTTTTCTTATTGTTTTTCACATTCTTTCACTCATGTTGATTTATTTTGTGTTCGATTTTTTTGTATAATTTTTCTTTGTTCAATTTCATTTTGTATAAGCTTCTTGGTAAAAATTTATCACTAGAGTATCAGAGTCCTAGAGATCAATATCAATTCCTTCACTATGATCAGCTCTCAGTTTTTTCTGTTCTTTGTGTGCACAAATCATACAATATTTGTTAGTGTCTTTCCTTGTCCCATTGCTTTTCCTCGGTTGTTTACATTTTTCTATTCTTTCAACTTGTATTTGTAACAACTTGTAATTATTTGTTCCTTTAGCACCTGTGATCGACCATAATGCAAATAAAGTTAAAAGTGCCCGTTGAAACCTGACTTGTTGGCAGTTACAGTCACCTTTCATGACCCAATGTATACATGCACTGTTTTCAATGATTGAAACACAAAGTTTTGTCAAAAAGAATAGCGTCAAAAGGTAAAAGAAGACAGCTTTATTGTGGATAAAATATGATTTTTATTCCCATACCTTGTTGCAGACCCTGGTGTGCTCTGCAGTATCTAGTTTTCCACTAAAAAGAAACATATTTTCATAGAGAAAGAAGAAAGTATGTATAAAATATCATAGGGGAATAAACAGAGTACTGGTATTTTTAATATTACTATTTTCAGGAACTGTGTACATTCATAAATGAACATAACAAATCATAATTTTGGCTCGTACCTTTCACTGCAGTTCTTGAAAGAACTATACTGCTTTTCATCTAGTGCAGAAAAGTAATGATAAGAAAAAATGTCCAATTAAACACCTGTGTTGCTGAAAAAATTAATGTTACTTTGTAGCAATGCTTTACAATCAAGTAACTCTTTAACCTCTGGGAGAGATTAGCATCTAATTTCTCCTTATGGAAGCAGCCTTGAATCAAACAGTAAGGTCATGAGAATAAAGCAAATGATCATTAACAAAAGAACCTCTTGATTGATAAGCAAATTCTCCTTGTCAGCACCTTAGGAAATGTATAGAGAACAGTATGGAGAATATACAGACTGATGTCAGGGTGTAAAGGGTTAAAAAATGATACCAATGACCGTCCTTTGTGATTAACCGAGTTTTGTTATCCAGCAAGACTTCTCGGCTGCATTTGTCCGCCATCTTGGCCATGTCACAGAGGTGTGTCTGCTATCTGATGCTTGGGATTTTCAATCACATTTGGAAAATTACTCCCCATAAATAACTCAGAATGAATGAACTTCTGAAATATGTACAATAACGATCTTTGATAATTGGTATCACCGCCTTGCATAAACAGTCATATACAATAAATACCTATGGTAATTGGTATCACTGCCTTGCATGTCTGGTAGAAGAATTCAGGGCTTGTACAAACATCCTGTCAATAAAGAATAAAAATGAATCTTCTGGGTGTACAAATTTTCACGTAAAGCTGTCAGTGCCCCTTCCCGAAGGTTCCGTTTTCATGCTTTAGAGCTAATGGAAAGATGCAAAGTCAAAATACTTGAAAGGTAGGGATAAATCAAATAATTTTATCTTGCTCTAACCGAGTTCGAAGTCTGTGTGGTGAGTTAAGTTCCTGCTTACTTGGGGCCGGACAGTAACGGTAGCCAACTAGCGACAGACTTGTAGAAATTCAGTTTTGGCAAGTGGTTTTTGATTTTCATCGGCCAGTCTGGCTAGTAAGTTGAAAAGTCAGCATTGAGCCCTATTAGTAGTAATTTATGGCTCAAGTCTGAAGTAAAGAGCCCATAAATCTGAATTAATAAATTCTATGATCTGTAACGTACAGTCCTGATCGAGGAATCTATTATATCTGGGTTCAACTAGAGGAGGAAGATTTCCAATAAAACAGACTTTTAAATGTTGAGGGACATACAGTGATTAATACAGCCCGCTAAATTAACCAATTATAGCACATGTGCTAACTGAGTGATATACTGGGTTCCAAATTAACACTCCTAAACTCACAAAATGCAAGTGATTTTGATAATCTGTGAATGAAAAAAAAAGTATTCACTAGCAAACATTGTGAGTTAGAATTATCCATACTGAGTGATATACAGGGTTCCAAATTAACACTCCTAAACTCACACAATGCAAGTGATTTTGATAATCTGTGAATGAAAAAAAAATATATCCACTAGCAAACATTGTGAGTTAGAATCATCCATGTCACCTAAACATCATTTATAGTCTTCATATCAGATGCATCTATGGTCACTGACAATTCAAAGGAATAGAATTTGCCAGTGGTCTCATCAGTTTGCTAGTGGAAAGAAATCTTACTGGAAAAACTTTCCCATTGGACTACAAAGTTACTTTCCAGCCAAGGATACAGAGGTAAAAATTTCCAGTGGTAAGACGTACCTGAGGTATTATGCCCTTTGTTTTGTACCGGCAAACAGATAAGTGTTTATCAAGTCTTGATGCTAGTATTCTGTGGCTGAAGTTGATTGGACAGTGTATCAACTTGGAACTGTTGACCTTACAAAAGAGAGTACAGTTTCACTCTCTTGAATGAACTCAATGTAATTGTACATAAAAAATCAGATTAACCCTTTCACTCCGAGGATCTGCTTAGAAATTCTCCATACTGTCTATTTGACAATATTTATGAAGTTTGTTTGGAAAATTTAATACTGGACGAACTAAAACCCCTAATTGATATTTTTCTTTATTCTTATCACTTGTCGGCTTGATATTGGGTAGGTGGTTTGCACATTACGTCATTGCCTCCATGTTGGTGGACTTAAACAATAGATATCTCAGTTGGTTCTTTTGTTCATTCACCAGCATTTGTTCCTTTCACCATTGTTACCTGTGTCTCTAGAGATTGGTTGCAAACCACCTATTGATATTGTAAGGAGAAATTCTGTCTTGATCTCTTATGAGAGTGAAAGGGTTCATCTTACTGTTAATAAGTAAGATTGTAAAATCAAAGCTTCAATATTGTATATTTTTATCCAAGAATGGTTTTTCTTTTAAGTTCTGCAAGCAAAAAGATTGAACATATTATTACATTTAAATTCATGCGATTTTAAAATGTTCATGATTTTCCAAAATTTTTAAGGATCGTCACGGCGATTCCCAATGAAAGGGATGCACGCGTGAGTAAGCTTGCTGCGTGAGAATAACAAAATTATCTTAAAATTACATTTTTAGGACTGAGTGCGAACAAACCTGCCATTTCACGTTCGCACAACATGTACCTGATACGGATGATGTAGACCAAAGGGAGGTAACAACATAGTTGAAGGGTTATTAAAAAACAATAATGGCAAAAGATGTTTTCATTTAACTCTGGAGAAACTGAATCAATAATATCTCCATGTATTACAAGTAACGATGGCGGGCTAAAAGGAAAGTCCATCCAGACCTTCTTCAATAAATCTTCCTTTTTCCACTTTAAACGGGACAGAATTCTTTCCATTTCCGTTGCAGTATGACTCAGAAAGGAAGAAATGTTCCGTACACAATGCTCCCTCTTCTCCGCCATCTTTGAATTTACCTCGCTATTGGAGACTGGCACGAGTTTATACCATATTAGGCATTTGACATTTCCGCTGGGAGTTCGAAGGCAGAAAATATAAGAGGAGTGTTGTTTAGGAATGCCTTGAAAGTTAACGTTTCATTGTAACAGCGGTCGGCTAATTTATCCAAAGATGGCTTGCTGTACGGGGAGATGCATCCTTTTCTTCATCCTAGTCCTTCAAATGGTACGTATCACTCGCTAGGTTCAAAATTTCTTGGTGTTGCATCCGGCCTGTTTCGCAGACGTAAGGACGATAAGCTTATCAGCGTACACAAGCTTAGTTTAAGAACGCTTTAGAATAATAAACATTGATAACTGTCCATCGTTGGCTAATGATATGTTCTCTATTCGTTTTTTTGTATATAGCTGGTTGTTGTGGAGCGACAAGTTTTCGATTTCTTGGGATTCATGTGGGCGCCTATCATCGCAAATTTCATCCATATTGCTTTTCTCATCATAGGAATATTTGGTGCCTTTCAATACCGCTCTGCTTATGTTATAACGGTAAGAATTAATTGTGATTACGAGTGGGAAAATACACTAAATTCTGGCTGAGCGGGGGAGATGATTTAACTCCGAAGCGAAACACGAAGCTACAATTGCTTCAGCAATTAGAGTACAAAATTTTTGACGTGATTCCTTCACATGACCCCAGCTATTGCTGTTTCCATTTAGTGTACTTTTACACAGTACATTTTCGCGCCGTATAAGACCGAAAACTGCACGATTCCTCCTTCCTTACTTCTAGTGCGAATGACTGGACGTCAAGTAATTGTTTTTGAAAGGTTTCAAACTCAGAATTCTCGTCAGTGAGAATCTTCAAAGTTGCTTCTTTTAGAACGTTTAATCCAACCATTCTCCTTATACACTTATGCTGTCATAGTTACGTCAGAAGGGGATAGATATTGCATGGAAGGTTGTACTAGCTACATTATAAGTCCACATTTTATTACCTTGGTGGGTTATTGAAACAAGGTTTGCGTTACGTTCTTAAAAAAATATCAATGTTATGCAAATCCTGTTAAGTAATTTGAAATACCCTATGGGCTGCTAATTTCTTTTACTCCGTAAAAATTATTTTCCCATGAATACAGACCACAGCATGCGGTCTTGTTAATAAAGAAGTTTAAATAATTTTATTTTTGTTAAAAACGTTTTAACTCTTTGCTAAGGTTTTTTAATGGTATTAAAGTTTATTATTATTTAGTCACATTTATTTTTAGTACTGTACCATTTAAAAATGATTGATATGTCATTGAGGTGAATTGTGCGTGAAATCGCGATAATTACAAAGTGCAGATTTTTCGCGGAAGTTTATATTGAATAGTGTGGTTTGAAATCGTAAAACTCGGTGAATACAAGATGAAGAAAATATTGGATTTGCCAAAAATACCTCGGTTTATATTTACATGTAGTGAAACAAAATGTTTTCATTTGAACACTTGGCACGATTTCTGCACAGCCCCCTACTTCATTATGCATTCAGTATTGGATAAAGAAATAAATGACAGAAACAATAGATTTCCTACAGCTTTGTTTCAGAACAGTATTGTGTTATATGGAAATCATGTATAAATATAGAAAAGTTGAGATGACTGTATCATTAGTAAAGAAGCTGGTTTTTGGTGCAAAGATTAGTTGTATGTTTACAGAAATACCTTTTCTGTAAACATACAACTATATAATTGCTATATAATTACATTTTGGAAATATTGTACATGTGTGTTACTGATACCACTGATTCTTTTTCTGAAAGACCAATAAATAACCCCTGAACTCCCATAAGTGATCAGAACAGCATTTCTCCCAACAGTATCATTATAATATCAAGCAGTAGAGATGAGAATACAGAAAATTATAAGTTGATCCAATACCAAATTCTCCAAACCAGCATCATAAGAATTATGTGGCAGACAGTAAGGAGAATCGCTACTGAGATCTTGGATTAAAAGAATCACCTTTTATTAGGCATCACTTGGATTCCTCATGATTAATTTTGCTCTTTTTATCATTTCAGTACTCTGTTTGGTGCCTTGTTTGGTTTGGAATCAATCTCACTGTCATGTCAATTTATCTGGAAATTGACAGACTGACGCATGTAAGGTTTCAGTTGTGTTATTTATTATTTAATATTTAACTATTTACTAATTATTTATTATTTATTTATTTATTATTTATTTATTTGTTAATGGTTTTTTAGGAATTATTATTATGTAAGTAATTATCACCCAATATGCCAAACTTTCAATGCATGTTTGAGGTTTTTTGGAATCATTAGTTTTTAAAAATGTTGCTCAACTGTACATTTTGTGCATTTGTCAAGTGCACTGAACGAAATATTGTAATGAAAATGAAGTGTCCAATGAAACTCTAACTAACTGAGCTGTGGGTATACCATCGATATACATGTACATTTACATGTATTAGATACAATGTCACCCAGACATGCACAATGAACAGTACATCTTGTACACTACTTAGAACAGATGACAGTGTTCAAATTGTCCCAGGTGAAGAGAAGCAAAGAATGATTAAAATTTCTAAGCTCAGTTGTCACCTTTGGCAAAGTACAAACGGAAATCTGATCTCCGTCTAATATGCAAAGCTTAGTTTCAGTATTTGGGTTTTCCAAGAGATCTCTTCGCACTGTTGTTATTCGATCCTTCTTAATATTGATAGAACTGTAGGGAATGTAAGATTTTATAACTTGAATTGTAAATAAAAGTAATTAGATAATTATGTTTTCTGAACTCTGGTTAAATTAACTGATTCTTGCCTACATCTTAACTGTCAACTTTATCTTGCTCTTTGCTTATTATATTAATGGTGTAGGAAGATGATTGGTTAAGTCTGAAAACTGGTCATAAAAGCTGGTGGGCAGAAAATGGTATTGGATGCAAAACCGAGTCTTCAAATGACAATACAGATAGTCCAACGAATGGATGCTTACTTCACTTTACAGTTAGTGTACCTTCTATCTTAATGCATATATGCCAACTCTCTTGGATACAGAGCCAATCTCCTGCTCTAGCGTACGGGGTGACCAAAACTCCTGGATAAAAGGAAGTTTGGATCAGTTGCGCACAAAAAACTAAGATTTACACTATATGTTCCAAAATTTCGAAATCTTCTGGCTTCTTATGCTTGTATTACAGTCTCTGGCTTCATTTTCTTGCATGATGCATGTTGTTCATTGACAACAAAAAGAAGAGAGTTTTTTCTTTGTTACTCCTATTCAAGTGAGAGTCTGATTGGATAAATATTAATTAATTAATAATTAATAATTAAATAATAATTGAAGTCCCTGACAGGTAGATCCACGTTTTTCCTGCAAAATTGTGTGGCATGCTCATTGATACTCAAAGGTCCAGTCATTCTGAATCTCAATCATGAAGGGGGGGGTGAGGAGGAGGATTAAATCAAAAATGAAATTTTCTGGGGGGGAAATTGGTGAATTTGGTCGTAGGGTTCTGATCTGAAAAAAAATCTCTAGATTTAAGATCTCCAGAGGTTGGCATCTTTGTTAATTTGTGCAATAAAACTCTCTATACCCAGATTTTTTAAACATTTCCACAATCATCATTAATGGAAACATGTTTGGACAACTTTTAAAAGGTTACTGATGATGTTTTGAGAATGTAGAGGATTGTTAAAGTTAGACTCAGAGTTAGAAACAGCATGGGAAACTATGATATTACATTCGAAAGATTGCCTCCAAAGGTTGATAAAAATAGAAAGAAAAGAGCTGCTTATCCTCCCAAATCCTTTGCTCCATTATGTTAACAATAAGGTAATTATTTGTTTTAGTATGTGGAATCAGTACAAGCTGCGGCAGAATGCATATTTGCAGTAAGTGAATAAAACACTTTGTACCACTTACAACAAATATTCTTATTTTAGAATTAAATCAAATCCTGAAAGCAAAGAATCATTGATTAATTAACTTAATTTTACTTTTTTGGGGGGGGGGGAGAAGGGCCTTCAAATGATATTTTTAGATTTTTTTTAATTCTTGTTTGTTATTTGGCTGAAGACAGAATCAGTGGGGGGTCCTACAAGCCCCCCTCCTTCCCCCCCTTCCCCCTTCTTAATATCTAGGCTTTTTCACTCCCAAGTTCTTGATAATAATAATCACTAGTATAATTTCAGATCTGAGCAAAGAGTTTCCAGCAATCTGATTGGTCGAGCTGTTCCTTATATGACGCTATATAAACAGCTCCACGTGGTTTATATAAAATGTTAAAATAAAATGTTAATAAATGTTACTATAACTTATGATTTTAGAAATTTCTCTGTTGTTCAGCCCTGAAATTATACTAAAACAATTATTCGCCTCAGGTTCGGTGAATCTTGTCAAATATTGTCAAATTTGACGATGTTCACCTTGCCTCCAGCGAATATTTGTTAAATATTGTCTCTTCTATTTTATGCCATGCACATTACCTGTAATGTTGATTGGAGAATTTGATTATGAATCAAATAATAATTCCTCTGATTGATTTGTTCTTTTCTTCTTGTTACTTTTCTGGTGGATATTGACTTATTATCTTAAGGAGAATTTCATTCTTCATCACGGCTGGGTGTAAAAAGGGTTAGCCCTGCCTGTCATGTGAAATTGTTTATTGTATGGGAAAGAATTGTACAAATGCAGTTGTATACAAGCATGCAGCCATTTTTAATGACTCTGCTGTTTTTCTTTAGTTTATAGGTTTCTGGTTAGGATGTTGGGTCTCCAGGTCTTTTACAGAAGAGGATGATCATTGTAAGCAAGCCATACTTTTGTGGTACAAATTTATAGGTTTGGAGCATTTTCAAATGAACCCAAATGTAAATTTTTTTTTTCACTTTTAACTTGAAAAATGACCATTGAATGGTTGAAACGTCAATGCTTTTTAACATTAATCAGTGATGTGAAACCTAAGTAAGTTTTAATTTTCTCTGCTTAACCCAATGGCACCTTTTACCTTTGCGGTAACTCTTTTATTGGAAGGTCCTTATTCCAAGTTGCTTGATGTACAAAGCATTCTGACTAATCAAAAGCGAGGTACATGTACATTGTAAGCAGCAGAAACTACTAGCTTTGATTTTCATTCCCTCTATCAATAATTAAGTATAAAATTATGAAAGGGACACAGTATTCGTTATTTTAATTGTATCATTTCTCTATTGCAGTTGATTTCATTGGTGGTTTTGATTCTAATTCTGCTCATCATCCACCTTCAAAATCATCGCGAATGCAAATGCAACCAATGTATATGTAAGTGTTCAATTCAACTATCAGCTCATTTATGAAACCACAATCCAACACACATCCTTAGAGGCTCTTTCACTCGCTGCCTTCTCCAGGTTATTCAGCATTAATCCACTAAAATTATTGCCCCCTTACCCCCCCCTGGAAGGGAGGTTAGTTCATCTCAGGGTTTCAACAGCTTTGAAATGTACTGAAAAAAATCCAGAAACTAACAACTTTCACTGTGGGGTCTTTCAAAAGTAACAGATTCAGGACTGCAACCTTGAATCACTTTTCACCATTTTTGTTTTTATCCTGTAGATTTTTTGCCTACTCAATGCAATTGCTTGACTTTGTGTTTTCTTTTTGTGTAGTTCCACTTGAAAACGATGTAGATTTCACTGTTGAGAAGACACAAAACTGCCCAAGGGGATTGCAAGTCCTGAGAGAGCTTTTAGTGTAATTGAATTATTGTAAGTTTTAGTCAAGAATTTTCAAAGTGGAGGATGAAAGCTTGGAAGTCAATGCTAGAGGTGTGATGGGTGTTTTTTTTTTTTTTTTATGTGCATAGCTTAGTGCTGGCATTTAATTTAAATTTAGGTTAGAGTTATCACACTGCTGTACGACACACATAAATTGGGAAACCTGTGCAAGAATACCCTTTCTGCCAACATACTATGCAAATCATTTTAAAACAGAGATTATCTGTCATAGAGGTGAGGGATGGAAAGGCAGTTAGTGCTAATCTAGGATTAGAATATAACCTTTGTTTGATTTGCATGGATTAGCTTATGTTAGGATCAATGTTTGATACACTTGAATCTTAACATGAGGCATGCGTGAAACATCATTCACAACTGTTTAAGAAAGCTGTTAAGGTAAACAAATTATATATTATGCTAACCCTGGGTAAGCTCATAACCTTCTAACTCCCAGAAGTGATGAACAAGTAACTTCTCCCTATAATGCCCATACATCATCCAGCAAACAGTTAATGAGAATACTTAAACTTATCAGGTAGAAGTTATTATCTTGATCTAACACCAAATTGTCGTCACTGATTTTCAAGGATATGTATAGCAGCTGTAGGGAAGAATTAAAACTCAGATCTTGGAAGTTATAAGGGTTAATTGTGTTTTGAACTGCCCAGCCCAGAGATTAAAGAAGAGGCAGCAATGTTGCTCTTGTAAATTAAGCAAGTAAATTTAATCAATTATTCATTAAATGCACAATAATATTGTATCTTCCTTGTAATATTTCAATTAGTTTTGAATTTATTGGATTTTCAGCATGCAATTTTAATAATTCTAGTTACAGTTGTTCCCCATGTGTAAATAATAGTTAATTATCGTTTTAGTCTTTGTTTTAAGATCTGTAGGTTCATCTTTCTTCTTTTGGAAAATGATGTTACTTAATGTACATGGACTGGAACTCAAATAGTCTCAATTAAGAAGTTTTCCATTTTTAGCCGTAAGATATATCTGGAGTGGGAAGTAATTTCAATCATTTCTTGAAATTGGTTATGATGGCTTTTCTAAAAAATTTATGCACTGCTTATTGTACATGATGGTAGAAGGGTTTTTTCATGTTAAATCACATTTGTACAATATTCCTTTTTCATTGTTGGCTAAAGTCACCTTTATAGTACTTATAACTGTGATAAAACTAATTTTTTTTAAAGAAAACGATAGGGTAACTACGAGCCTTGCTTTCATGACAATTAAAAGAGAATCTTAAAATATTCTCTTATCTTATGTTTTACATTAATTTTGTATTGTATGCAGTAGTTCGTTGGTATTCAGGGCCTCAAAATGACTTTTCATAACTAATGTATAATGTCTGAACCATTTTGTTTTAACTTTCTAGTTATGCTAACTGTAAAATAACACTTTCAGGACCTCAGATTTATGGGAGCTGTTAGTTAGAGGAGCAGAAAATGGTCCCTAATTTGTTATTTTTTTTTCCTTTCACTTTCCCCCTCATCCGGAAATATATTTTCCTCAGCTATTGCGTGGAGTTTTCACCACACAAAAAACAATAAATAAAAAACAGGCAGTAGAGAACAGGCAGTGTACGTTTAATACTTGCCTTGTGTCAGTTGCTATAAACTGAATATCGTGTATGATGTACATTTCTGCTTTCTCACTAAATGAAAATTTTATGTGTTAGAGGACAGTGTTAAATATTTCAGAAAGGCACAGAGCTGTACACACACTGAAGTATCTCACAGGGTCAAGAACTATATATTATATGAACTAATTATAAGTTACTTAAGCGGAAGCAGATAACAATTATGCTTCACATAACGTGAGTTAGTGCAGAAAGTACGATGTTATTTAATTTTCATTTTTTAGCTTTAATTGCTTTGACTTTCTTTCTGTCATCCTTTTGTTTGTTTCATACTTGACTCTAACTATCCGCATCGCTTTAAATCGTTGAATATGATTCATTAGCTATTTTTCCCACCTTTTTAATACTGAATAAAATGGATTAACATTTAAGAAATTGTTCTTCTATTTTTTTGGCTTTTTTTTGTACTCGTAAAGAAGAATAACTGACGGAACGAATAATTTATCAACTGGATGTGAGGCTGATTGATTGATTGACTGACTGATTGATTGATTGACTGACTGATTGATTGACTGTCTAACTGACAGGCTGATAGATTCACTGACTGATTGATTGACTAACTGACAGGCTAATTGATTGACTAAAGGCTGATAGTTTCGAAAGAAACTGTTTGGGGCTGCGTGGATGGGGGTAACGAAATGGTTTGGATATATCAAAAAAGTTGAAATGGTAAATGGGTCACCGCAACGATTACAAAAGCTGACGTTTCGAGCGTTAACCCTTCGTCGGAGCGAATAGAGGAATTGTGGGTTGTGCGTGCATTTAAAGGTTGAAAATGGAGCTACGTTATTGGAGGGAACATAGCAACGAGAAAAACAAGAATAAATTAGTGGAATGAAAAGCGTTCGTTGATCCCTGTGGGATTTAGACTGCCGGTTTGAAAGACGAGCTTTTGTTCAAGATTTTTACGGCTTTCCGTGCTACCTAAGTGTAAGGAAAGATCCTAACCCCAAACTCAACCCTAACCCTAACCCTAACCCTAAACCCTAACCCTAAAGATCGATTGACTGATTGATTGACTGACTGACTGACAGGCTGATTGATTGACTGTCTGAATGACAGGCTTATTGATTAAATGAATGAATGACAGGCTGATTGGTTAACTGACTGACAGGCTGATTGACTAACTGGCCGACAGGCTGATTGATTTACTGACTGACTGACTGACTAACTGAATGACTGACTGACCGAATGATAAACTGATTGACTGACTGACTGACTATCTCATCGAACGACTGTCTCGCTGAGTGACTAGTTGAATAAGATCTAGATACAAATGGGGATCGATAGCCGTACGCACATACGGACGGACGCTCTGATTATCTACCTGCCTGATTGATTTGATAGACCAATTGCTACGCTTCTTCAACAATCTACTGAGTACCTGTAACCAAATGACGGCCAGTGCTTTTCGTTTCAATGTTGTATTATTAAAACTAAAATAGTTGAAACAACTTATTTGAAGATATGAATATTTCGCAAATTAACAGCAGGAAACGTGGAAAGGTATAAACGGCCAGCTTCCCTTTACATCGGAATCTAATTGTTTGAGCATGTTTGCGCGTTTCTAAACCAATCACAGAGTGGCATAAAAAAAAAAAAAAACACTGAAAGTTTAAGATTCAGAAATCTGACTGGTCTGCCTGAGTAACTGACATCTTGTCCTCAGTGCCTCTCGTTTTTTACCAACAGTAACGAGTATGACTGGATCGCTTGTTTCTCCGACCGCAGGTGACCAAAAGGAACAAAGAGTCTGGAAACGAGAATAAATAACTGACCGGAATGACATCTAAGATCGTAAAGAAAATATTTGAATGAACCATTTTCTTATGGTAAGATAATCTTCAATGTCCGCTGCAGTCGGCACTTAAAATTTAGACATTTAAAAGTGTTTCCGATTTTCAGATTAATCGCAACTCTTTAAAAATTGAAGTGATAAGGAAATCACTTCCAGAGTGTATTGTTTGTCTTTGAAGAGAATTATGCCGGCCAATATCCGTTTCTTGCATTTATTTCTTCCATGTTTAACTCCTGTCTTCGGATGGAAATTGCAGTGTGATTGCTAATGGTATATGACAGAAAGTCATCCACTTCTGATCTCTGTCGACAACAGAAAAGCATCGATTTCAGCGCTCTTCGGTACTGCGATAGCCGCCAAGCGTAAACAAGAGGATCGAGAGCAAACTTAAGAAAAAGAATACCATTTGAAAATAACATTGCAATTTCCAATTTTACCCTTCGAACGGATGGGGTTTGTACAACCCAGTGTTCAGCCAAATAAGAAATAACAGTGAATTGCATGGTGCAAGCGATAATGAAAGTTAATAATAACAAGTTGACAATAATAAGCTGTCTTTCTCGGCTGGTTCTACCCCTTCGTTGTTGTCCGTTCGACTTGTTGGGTCTCCATGAATGCAAGGTTCTCATTTGTTGCCTAAATGCTTTGAACAAGCAAAAATAAGCAACAGTAAGAAGGATGAGGCTGCCTGTCGTGTTGAAATAGAGATCAATTTTAAAAAATATTTTCTTCGATGCTTGAATCATGATGAATAAAGAAAACATCGCAGAATAGGCCCACGTAAGGATCACACTTATTTGGACTCTTTTCTTGGTCACGAGCGCGCGGTACTTGTGCGGAAAGTTGATTGCCGTGAACTGACTCCATGTAAAAAGAAGCAAAATGATATAAGAGCTGTTCATTGTCACCACAGAGAGAAGTTGACCGACTTGAGCAACTTTTCCACGAGTTAAATCTGACGAGAAGTCGCGGTTTTTGTAAGCTAAGGACGAAGAGATGTATAACCATGCATGCATCGGACACACTATCAGTCCTGTAAGAAAATCGGCCACTGCCAAACCAATGATGAAAAAGTATGTGGTATGTGTGCGAAATGATTTAAAGGGATCTCTCCAGATGGCTAGAAGAAGGAGACCATTTCCAAAAGTGGTTATTACGGATAGAACGGCCAAAAAGATTCCCAATATGATGCTCAGTTGATAATAAGTTTTCAAGAGCTGGATTACCTCTGGCCAGGTTTGACTTATTGATTGCGTAGAATTCATTGTAGAATTCATCTTATCGACATCAGTAGAGAATTCGCTGCTGCTCTGTTGATTAACAGAGCGACGAATTTGTTGTTAACTTGAATAACCAGACAAAATTTAGTACCGTCAAAACGTTCTTGCACTAATTTATAGCAGTTGAGTGTTCCTCGTTTTTGAGGACATACGTGCAGACGCACTGACTTTAATATTTAATACCTGTCACATTTTGCATTAACTTTCGCATTTTTTAAAAGCGCTTGTCGCCTTTTGTAATACCTTTCCCATTTTTCTTTAAAACGTGTCGCACTTTGTAATGACGGTTCTCCCATTTAGTGATAAAAAAGCTGTCACGGCCCTTTACAATAATAGACCTTAATGCTTTGCAACTAAATAAGCTGTCGCACTTTGTAACAACACTCTTCGTTCTTTATAATCAACTTGGCAAAGATGGCGGGATGGCATGTAGACCCAATTTCATTCCTCTCAATACCTGCGATAATAACAATAACGATTATAATATTGGTAATAACTGGATGATAATGATTATGAAATGGTATCGATAATGATAGTGATGGTGTTAGTTGTAGTGATCTGTTGATAGTAATAGTAGTGATAGAGCGATGTTGAAAATGGCGAGAATGAATATCGTTGTCGATAAAAGTACAAACCACGCTAAACCACTGTCGATTTGTTAAATCTCTCCATAATGATTATTATTATCATAATAATTATCGTTAACAAAGATTTAGTAATACATAGACAGGTAAAAACGAACGATATAATATCCCGACGTTTCAGCGACT